GAGAGAGAGAGAGAGAGAGAGAGAGAGAGCATTTCATGTAGTTTGGTTCAACGCGCTGTTGAATTCCCTGCACCAAGGCCAAGGGCACATCTGAAGGCGTTGGCATTCCATGTACACAAGCTAGCAAAGTAACTAGGCTGAATACAGCTGTAGCTTGGAGTTTCATGGCGATCCGCCAATCCTCATACAACAATGATGATACTGGTGCAATGGGCATAGCGATATTATAAGGAGAGAATCAATAAGAATTGCAGCAGCAATTTTAGCACAGCAGATGGAGACAACGATAAAGTCGCCGCGCATTATTGGCTCTGCCCTCGTGGCATTGAGCACCTTTTGCAAGGGCTTAGCAACATAACGTGTGGGTATACCCCATGTGCTGTTATACGTTTAATGTGCCCGAATGTGCCCGAATATCAAGAAAACAAAGTTTAATTCATTCGTCATGTTCTGTCCCAGCGGGTATGTACAACATTGTTGTATGCATGTTATCAGCGGTGCCTAGTCCATTAGAAATAAACAGTATGCACCAGAATATCCCGACTAGGAGGGCGCCTAGTCGTGTATTTTTTTTCTTCAACTGGGCTCACCTCCAGCCAATCTTGCCACTGCAGCAGACAACCGCCATTCATTTAGATCATCTTCCAGGCAGCGGAGAGGAAGAGAGATGAGCTTGCTTATGATGGAGACTGAGCACTTTATTTTTTGAATGCCGCCCCAAGGTGTTCTATTATTGGAGACGTGCTATTATTGGAGACTGTGCTTATTTTTACGCTAGCTGCAACAATGTCATGGTGCGCTCAAAATCAGCGTAAAAACTACTGACGCGGTCCAAGATCTTGGTGATTAACCGATCCTTGATTTGCACCTTGAAGAAGATTGTGTCGTCCTGCAGATATCGGCATCTTTCATCGAAAAGAAGCTCATGCGAAATGAAGCGTTGATACCCTGCACAGGCATAAGAGATCAACATGAACAGAACACACTCGTAGCCACCTATGCACACATACACATTATGTGCACACTATCACAAACATACGCAATTACACATGCATGGTGCATCCATATACGCATCCCGCTCTCCATTATGTGTTTGCCAGTATCTTTTGTACTCACTTCCCACACGCATGCCAGCACAGCATGCGCACTGTTTCTCTGCCGTCGGAATTTATTCCCCAGTTCTCATTTTGTTCTCCTTGTGTTTACATCTATTGTATTTCGATACAGATAGGATTGAAACCCAACATTGCGCAGGGAACTTACTTCTTGTGTTGAAACGAGCGTATCAATAACAAACGAGCGAACAGTTTCACTAACGAGCAAGCTATCGAGCGATCTAACGAGTTTCATTGAAGTGGCAAATATGATTTTTTTTTAATTTTCTAAGTTCGACTTTTTTTCAGCTGGTTCAAATTATCACCGCCGGCATTTGGGGTTGCTGCTGCTTCACCTCGGACTGCTGTTTGGTGTCGAGATGTCTTTTCAGCGCCATCGTTGAGCAGCCTTTGTAATGTTGAGTCCGAACAAGAGACTGACAACGGGAACAAGTAGGTTGGTGGAACGACATTTATTAGAGACGGGATGACTAAGACCAGGACGAACATGGTGATTATTGAAGAGAGCTTATTAAAGAGGGCTTACTGAAGAGAGAGAGAGAGAGAGAGTTGAAGAGAGAGCAACGCAATATAAAGGGCCTGGGTAGCTATGGCAAACATGGACGCGCAAGTAGCTACCCAGGCCAAATGAATAATGCATGAACTAATGAATATGAAGTACATGTACAGTCAACTTGGCTAATAACGACTGCAGATATAACGACAATTCGCGAATAACGACAGCATTTCCATGCCCAGAGCAAAGTCCCATCCAACTGTAATAATACTCATAAAAAGGACACACTTCAGGCTCATTACAAACATCTTGAAAGTTTTTGTCTTCACAAGTATACTTTCAAGCCTTCTCATCAGGTGAAATACAGGCAGGCCTTTGCAAGCAGAAACAAATCAAATTCACACTTAGGCTGTTAGGTAGGTCGTCAAAACCTCGTTAGTTACATGTATGTCCAGTGGTTGTCTCTTGTTGTCGCACTACATGTCGCGCTTATTGAGTTTTCTCGCATTTGCACCTTTGTGTCATTATTGCAATTTTCGCTGTTTACTTTAGCTATCTTCTTTCTTTCTTTCTTTTTTTTGCGCTGTTTTACTACCTTCTTACTGTATTTAATCCACTGTTCCTGTTCCTTTTCCCTTGCCTGTATTTCACCTGATGAGAAGGCTTGAAAGTATACTTGTGAAGACAAAAACTTTCAAGATGTTTGTAATGAGCCTGAAGTGTGTCCTTTTTATGAGTATTATCGCATTTTTGTCTCAGAGGAAACTGTTTACCAACTGTAATACATAATTATAATGAGACTTCGCGAATAAGGACACTTTTTTGATGCCCCGCCGAGTGTCGTTATAAGCGAAGTTGACTGTAATTACTTGTGGGCCTAACATACCACTCCTCCAAAAAAAGAATGCAGCGTCCTTCCGGAGAAAAAAAAGAAAGAAAAAAGAGAGAAAAATATAAAACATGACTGAGGGAGAAAGAAAAAACACACAAACACACACACACACACACACACACACACACACTGCACGCGCGCACGGATCTCACAAAAGTGTTTACTAGTATCATGCATTACAGTTATTGTTCCTGTACTTCTCTAAGTCTAAAGATAAGAAACTAGACGTGACGAGGAACCTACTGATACTGCTTGCATGGCTAAAAATAGCGTAGCTGCACTTCTGCTAAACATCAACAATTAGAGCGTGGCTCACCATGACCGGATCTCTAATTTACTAATAATTTATGAACACACGCGCGCACACACACTACAAAAAAATTCACGAAATAAATAAACCGAAAATAAATTTTACGATGAAGGACGGATGAAAAAGAAAGAGAGAAATAAAGAAAGTAGCTGACCTGCATGACTTGGGCGAGACGAGGTTGACATAGAAGAGACGAGGTTGGAGATGAGACGAGGTTGGCGACGAGACGAGATTGACGTGACGAGATGAATGCAAGGCGGTAGAGCACGAGAATCCCAGGGTCGCGGGCTTCGGCAAAAGCTGGGCGCCAATGTTGAGTCCGAACAAGAGACTGACAACGGGAAAAAGTAGGTTGGTGGAACGACATTTATTAGAGACGGGATGACTAAGGTTATTATTATTATTATTATTTAAATTTTGAATAGGGCAATCCCCACAGGCCTAAGGCCTTTTTACAGGGTACCCTATGTGGTCACGTATAGATTTGCGGAATAGTGAAAGCGAGGAGGAAGAGCGAATGTCAGCTGGAAGAGAATTCCAGCGGTCAGAAGCCAGAAAGCTCAAAGCGAATAAGCCATAACGAGTGCGTGCTTTAGGCAGAGCAAGTGAATCTATGGACTGGGAACGTGTATGGGCAGCTGTGCGTGTTGTGGCAGAACGAAGGCAGAAGCAATCAGAGAGCAGAGTGCTACACATGCCACGTATGGCCCGAAAGACAAGAATATACAGTTTAAGCTGATAGCGCAGTGCAATAGGAGCAAGGCCATATCTGGTGTGTAAGACTGAAACATCATAGTGCCAAGGGAAACCAAAAACAATCCTAACAGCGCGGTTAGCAATACGAGTTAGTCTATCATGTTGTGTGGTGTGAAGGCAGTGTACAAACGCATTAGAACCATATTCGAGGAGTGCTTGAATAAATGAGCAGTAGAAGGTCTTTCTCGCAGCCGGTGTCAGATTGTCCCTGATCTTCCGGAACATGGCAAGTTTTGTTCCGACCTTTTTCTCAACTTCAGTGACATATGAGGAGAATGATAGATGTTCGTCAATGGTGAGGCCAAGATACTTCACCGTTGGTGTTGGGGATATGAGGACATCGCCGAGCCGAAGGCAGATGTTAGGAGGAACACATTTTGTTTTTTGTCTTATGATGATAAATTGAGTCTTGGAGTTATTAAGATTGAGACCTCGGTCACGTAGGTACTCTCTGATGACAGATATGTCAGCAGAGAGATCATCAGTGAGTTTCTGCAAGTTTGTGCCTGCCTTATACATAGACACGTCGTCTGCAAATTGCCGAACCTTGCTCGTGATGGTACATGATGGCAGAGCTCGGACAGATAGGTTAAAGAGGGCAGGACCCAATGTTGACCCTTGAGGTACACCTCTTGTAGGTGTGTACTGTTCACCTTCCTGATGCTTCGTGACTACTCGTTGGCGACGGTCACATAGGAAACTAGCTATCCATTGCAGTGCAGTACCACCGACACCAATAGAGAAGAGTTCTTGAAGAAGGGAGGCATGATTGACTGTGTCAAATGCTTTGCTGAGATCGAGAAAAGCAGCGACAACAAATTGGCCCTTGTCTAGACATGCTTGCCAGTCGTTTGTTGTCGTGGCTAAAAGATCTTCGCAGGAATGCTGCTTGCGGTAGGCGAACTGTTCATTCGGCAACGCGTTCGGAAATGATTCACCTTGTATGTGCGACATGATCTGCTCATACGCGCACCTCTCCAGCAGCTTGGAAGCGATCGGGAGGAGGGAAATAGGTCGATAATTACTGGGATCAGATGAACTCCCGCGCTTGTGAATTGGACGAACGTTGGCAATCTTGTATAAAGAGGGAAAAATACCTGATCTGAAAGAGATGGTGAAGAGCTGGGCAAGAGAGGGAGCGATTTGTTTCTGGAGGAGTTTGTAGATGGACGGAGGTATTTTATCTGGACCACTTGCTTTGTGGCTGTCAAGGCGTTTCAAATGGGACACTATGGTTGCTGCTGACACCGGTTCAAACTCAGTGAGGGACGGCTCTGGCATTGGTCCGATCGGTAGTTTGATACCTGTGCCTGATCGTGAGGGTGCACTCGAAGCGCGCTGTGGAGCGGTCGGTGATACGTTGAGGTGTCCAAAGGTCACGGTGCTAGCTGCACCTGCAGGTGTTGCTGGGGCAGGGGCTCGAGGTGAGACTATCCTGGCGAACGTTGCTGAAATGTCTTTGACTGAGGCATGGGGCTCATGGTACACAGTTGTTCTCCCAAGCAAAGAGTTGATTGTTTTCCACTGTAGCCTTGGGTTGCGATTGTTTCGAGTCAGTTCGTTTTGGAAATACGCAGCTTTCTTTCTTCGCATGAGGAGTTTACTTTCGCGCCTTAGAGCACGGAAAGCCTGAGTTAGACGTTGATCATCCGGTCTCTGTATCATTTTCCTATGTGCTCTTTTCCGGCGATAGAGTAATTGCCTTAGTTCACCGTCCACCCAAAGAGAAGGTTTGTATCGTGGTGACGTGGTGATGGTCGTGGTCGGACAATGCTTGTCAAGGGTGTCAGCTATTGAGGTTTGGAATAGGGCAATGTGCTCGTTTAGAGTGATCTCAGATGGCGAAGTGTTGTTATTATGGAGAGCAGTCAAACTGGAGCTAATGTCGTCTTGGAATTGTTGAATGTTTATCGCTCGAACTGGAGGCTTACGAATAGTAATGCGTTCTTCTTTGAATGTTCGTAGCATGGTAGATAGCTCGAGAATGACAAGTTGGTGGTCAGATACGTCGCATGGTTGAACGGAGCATGTGATGGAATTGACATTGTTTCCACGCGGCTGTGAGTTTGGCAACTGAGCAAGCAGGTTAGGTACTAATGCGAGATCAATGGTGGAGTTGCTCGGCAGCCTCGTGGGGGCGAGTACCACGTTTCGTAAACTGTTATCGCTGCAGAAGGTTTGGAGGTGGGTGTAGTGTGGGTGATTGTGGTTCTGAACATTGACATTGAAATCACCAATGACTATCGTGTGCGATTTTGCTGCTGTGGATCCTGAGATGTTGTCCACTGTATCAGTCAGTTTCTGCCAGAATATGACAGGCGTGGACGGCGATCTGTATGCAGCAATAATGTTTAGTGTGATTTCTTGAAGACGTACATG